AATATATCCCTGCACAATCTTAAGAGAATATTTTACGACGTAGCTGCTTATTAGATTAATGAAATAACCAATTTCAGTGTAATATTAGTTTGATTTTTATATGACTTTAATTTCAGGAGTGATGGCAATCTCACAGCTGGATTTGATGGGGCCTGGCAAAAAAGGGGAACAGGTCGTGCATACAACAGTCTTACTGGTTAGCCTTTCTTCATTTCAAAATAATTTTTTGTGAATGCCATAGAATATTCAGAAAAAATCAAATTACAGAAAATACCTGTTTCACTCTCTGATTTTAAACTTTTACAGGGCATGCATCTCTAATTGGTGAGAAAACAAAGAAATGCATAGGAATTTCGGTGATGGGAAAACGTTGCAGAATATGCGAGTCAGCTGAAATGAAAGGGGTCCCTCCAAGAAAGCACAAATGTCCCCGCAACTGGTCTGGGTCAGCAAAGTCCATGGAGCCAGCAATGGCATGCGAGATGCTCCAGGGCATCATAGACCAAGGGCATAGGGTAAATAGATTTTTGGGGTCAACAGTTTAATTTGATTTTACATGTATGAAGAGAAGTTTAGCCAGATTCGAGCAATATCTCTTAGCAAATTGGTCAATACATATTATTTACCATAATTTGAATTTTATCACAGTCTGAGAGGTATTTAAAATATATTTATAGAATAATTAATTTGTATTTAGTTATACATAACATGCTTTAAATTTTTGACAAATTTATTTTCAAAATTGTCTTTTGTATATGTAGGTGCAGACCTTAGTTATGGATAATGATTCAACCACTATTGCAAGGGTAAGGGCAACCGTTGATCCAACCATAACAAAAAAGTCGGACAGCAACCACACACGAAAAGGGTTAATGGGGAGCCTCGTAGAACTCGGCAACACCTACAAAGTTTTGAAAAACAACAGAGTACGTTCACACATTGAACGTTGTTTTATGTACTGTGTGAAGCAGAATTCAGGGAACTCCACTAAGCTTGCTGAGGACTTGAAAAATATAGTTCCCCATTTATATGGTAAGTTTTAATATAAATTCACTAAACACGATCTATATGAAAATGATCATGGAATATTTTTTATCTTTTGATGTTAGGATTACATTATAATATTAATGTTAAAGGTGAGCATGATGAATGTGGAACATGGTGTAGGAGTCAGAAAACCAATTAAAAGCCCAAGAATCTGCCATATGGAAAGCCACTTTCTGACCAACCCCTCCGTGTAGCTCTGGAAAGCCTGATTAACAAGTACATCCAGAAAGCTGATGAACTAGTAGACTTGGGATCAACTCAGAACAACGAAAATTTCAACCACATGGTTGCCTCTAAAGCACCAAAAAGACTGTAAGTACTTAAAATTTTATTCCATTGTTTTGAGAGAAATATAAGTGGAATTAAAAAAGTTTTGTGTCATTTCTAAATTTTGTATGAAATAATGACAGATTTTATGGAGGTTCTGAGAGTTTAAAAACAAGGGTCTCGGCTACTGTTTGTCAAAAGAATGAGGGCTACAATTATATCACGGAGGTAGAATTAATTGTTTGGAAATGTTACCAAGTTGTATACTTTGTTGTTGTTTTTTTTTTTTTTTATAATTATTTGGTTTATTTTTCTTATTTTCATTTTCTGTTAAGTTTGATTAATTTTGTTTTCTTTTGCAGAGTTACCATTTTTTGCATTTGAATTTTAGATTTAATACTTAGGTTCATCCAGACATTTATATAAAAAGTCATATATAAGGAAGTTACTTGGACCTTAACCTGAAATTCTTTATATCCATATAAACAACATTGAGATAAGTTGCTAAGGGGATTCATGAAAAATTTCTTATAAATATTTCTTTATAACACTTTTACTGTATTGGGTTCCTTAGAAAGTTGTTGGAATTTGAATATATATTACTTGTCAATGTATCTTTGACTGTCTATCTTGTAAACTTGGGCTGCAATTTTGATAGACTTGCATGTTTTATGAATTATTCAATGTGCTGTGAATTTCAGTTGAATAGACGATGTCAGCTGTCCCCTGGAAGGTTTACAGAAAAATGGACATCAAAACTAGCCAGAAAATTAAAAAGACAAAGGTTGGCGCAGGCTCAGAGGAGTGTTAAACGACGCCGGCTGCAGTTGAAAAATGAAAGAACATCAAAAGATGCCACCCAGTCTGTACTCGAAGGTAATATTTCATTTATAATAACAAGTAATTTAAAATAAATTCTGAATGAAAAGTTTAGAAACTAAAATATTTCATATAATACATGTAGGTGCAACATATAGCTCAAAGATAGGACTGGAGGAATCAGTTGACTTGGAAGACATCAGCATGGAGCCGAAGTCTGTGTGCCTAGAAGGCAGTTCATTTATAGTTTTTGATCTTGAAACAACTGGACTAGGTAAGTGTTCACTTATAATTCAAATATTGGCAACAAGTTTTCCTTGTCAGATTTTTTTTTTAGCAACAATTATTTTAAAAAGTTTTTATTTGATGGCTGAGCAGATTGTGCTAAAAGTTAAAACCCTTTCTTTGATATAGGCAGGTCTTCAGAAATCCTTCAGATAGCATGTGTTTGTGGTACAGAAAAATTCAATGTCTATATGAAACCATTTCTGCATCTGATGCAACAGGTTAGTATAAAGAAGTTATAATGTTAGCAGAAAATAACTTTTGAGTCCTCCTTCCCATCTATTGTTCATTACAAAGTATTTACAGATTAATTCAACATGGTTTTCATAAAACAGGTCTTACATATGTTGGAGGCATTTTGAAACACAATGGAAAAGCTGTACAGTCAACATCAGCATCTGAAGGACTTTAAGATTTCCTCAAGTTCCTGTCACGGTTTCCGGATTCCATTTTGATAGGACATAATATCCAAAATTTTGATTTACCTGTTCTCCTACACCAGCTGACCAAATATAACCTTATGAAGGACTTTAAGGGGACAGTATCAGGATACATCGATACTCTGAAGCTTTCAAGAAAAGTTATCTCTAAAGCTGATGTCGGAAACTATAGACAACAGAATCTTGTTCAGAAACTGTTAGGAGAAACCTATGAAGCCCACAATGCCATCGCAGATGTTTCTTCTCTACAGAAATTATTTGATCTGAAACTAAAATCACACTGTGATAGTGATGACATATTTCATTTGTCCTACTACAGTTGTAAGGAATCTTTGGATCCACTTGTGAAAGCAAAAGTAATTTCTTCTGTAACATTGAAGAAACTTGTAGTTAAACTACTTTTACTTCACGCAATATATGTACACGCAGTTGGACCTCAACATAATGGAGAGTTTTACCATGAACTATCTGGCATGTGAAATATGTAAAACTCTATACATTTGTTGTATTTCACTCTTATTTGGAGAGATTTGAACATATAAAGGCTGGTAATTTGTTTATATGTTGACAAATATGTGATTTGCCAGGTTTCCTGTATGATGTTTTAATGGGGTACCCATAGTTTTTTAGTCGTGGCTCAAAATTTAATGTGATGACATATGAATTTTATCTCTTTAATCTGTTCAGTAGATATCTATCTTTATTTTTAAATTGATTTTAAAAGTTTGGCTCTGAGGAAAATTAAGGAAAATGCGGTTAAGTATTTCTTTCTGTCATGGCGTGTTGAATTTTTTTGGTGGTGTATAAATAGTAAAAAAAAATATTCTCCACTGCATCTCTTTCATTAAGATAAACAATTTTTATCATAAGGGTACATATTGACATAATTTAGCAAAGTATGGACAATGTTTTTAAATTAATACATATTTTGTGAATCTAAATGTAAATGTATGCTTATAGCAGCAAGAGACGAAAATTGAAGTTATGGGGTATGCTTGTATGTTGGACTGTAACAGTAAAAATAATTTGATTACATCAAGTTTTCTTGTGTTTTTCTGTTTAATGAGATGTTTGTTTGTAGATTAAAAACCGTTTTAACTGAATTGCACAGATATAATCAAAAGCAGGGATGTACCTTAAGTTACGATAATTGTCTGTCTTACTAAACTTCGTATCGGAGCTACTTTAAGTAAAGATTTTATGTTTTACGCACTTCTAGATATAGAAGAGGGAGGTTCACTAGAGTTTTGTACGTGGTGTCCAAGTACTCAACCACTCCTCATAATACAGCATGCTTTCAAAGACCGTAGCTCGATTTATGCCATTCTCTCGTTTATTTATTTGTATTCAGTTTATTCTTAAAATAGCAAAAATATGTACATGTTAATTGGGCATATAGCTCGTGAAATAAGCGTTGCCTATGTTCCGACATCTATCCTTATTATATAAATGTAACTGCATAACCTGTGTTTTATAACGTATGCAAAAAAACAATTTAATCAAATCGGCCGCTAACATATTTAGCATGTCAAAAAGTACTTTTACAACTCAAAGCATTCATGCAAGGAAAGCACAGGATAATCAAAGCTGAAATAGTGATTTTTTTATATTTCAGGCCGTCTTCAAAGCAAAATAAATAAATATTTTTGAAAATTTAATAGGGGGGGGGGGGCTGGGGTAGGTAAACTTTTTTTCAGTGTCGACTACTTTTAGTACCAATTCTTATACTACATTTTCGGTACATTTCTAACAGTGGGGGGGGCCAAACAGGCTTTGAATTAACATTTCCTATAGTGTGTGTAAGGTTGGGGAAAAAAGTGGGGGGGCCAGGCCCCCCCTGGCCCCCCCGGATACTACGCCCCTGTTATGAATTGATGTTTGTGAGAACCCCATAACTCTTTTATCGATGTTGCGATGTCTTCCCTCCTCTCAACGCTTTAGGGTTTGCAATGTTAAATGCATAAATGCTCGCAATTAAGCCAAATAACACTTGGGAAAATTTTCCACCAAAAACTTTTTTCATTGTTTCTTGAAGGATTGACGTAAATTGAGAAAAAAAAAAATGAACATTGGAATACAATTTTTTTTTTATTTCAGAGAATGGAATTGATCTTTATTTCAAAAGAAAAAGATAAAATAACAGTCCTAAATAAAACGTCAACAGGCTGGCATCTTTCCCAATAGCACCACTCGCATTTTCTGCAATTAAAAAATAGTGATTGGATTGACAACAAGTGTGTGAAATAGGACAGTTGTCGAAATATTTATTTCTTTTATGTCCTTAATTTTATCACGTGATATTCATTTGACATTTGTCATTATGGGATGCGCGTTTATCATTTTTAGCTCTACTGGTCAGAGACCAGAAGAGCTTATGCGATAGTCATGCGTCCGGCGTCCGTCCGTCTGTCTGTCTGTCCGTCTGTCTGTAAACAATTTTTCAAAATGCTACTCCTCCTACAGTTTTGGTCTAATTTCAATATAACTTGGCACACAAGTAGACTACACTAAGATACATAATTCTGTATATCGGTTTTTGATTTCATCGAACGGTGTTGCCGTGGTTACTAAAAATAGAAATTTCTGTGAAATTCTTTCAAAATGCTACTCTTCCTACAGTTTTGGTCTGATTTCAGTATAACTTGACACACAAGTAGAATACACTAAGATACATAATTCTGTGTATCGGTTTTGGATTTCGATGAACGGTGTTGCCTTGGTTACTAAAAATAGAAATTTCTGTGAAATTCTTTCAAAATGCTACTCCTCCTACAGTTAAGGTCTGATTTCAGTATAACTTGACACACAAGTAGACTACACTAAGATACATAATTCTGTGTATCGGTTTTTGATTTCGATGAACGGTGTTGCCTTGGTTACTAAAAATAGAAATTTCTGTGAAATTCTTTCAAAATGCTACTCCTCCTACAGTTTTGGTCTGATTTCAGTATAACTTGGCAAACAAGTAGAATACACTAAGATACATAATTCTGTTTATCCGTTTTTGATTTCAATGAACGGTGTTGCCGTGGTTACTAAAAATAGAAATTTCTGTGAAATTCTTTCAAAATGCTTCTCCTCCTACAGTTAAGGTCTGATTTCAGTATATTTTGGCACACAAGTAGACTACACTAAGATACATAATTCTGTGTATTGAATTTTAATTTTGATGAACGGGTTGCCGTGGTTACTAAAAATAGAAATGTCTGTAAAATTGTTTCAAAATGCTACTCCTCCTACAGTTTTGGTCTGATTTCAGTATAACTTGGCACACAAGTAGACTACACTAAGAACATAAAGAGACTTTATCAACGATCATTATTCTATTTATTGCTGTTGTAAAGTTTCAAATCCCAGCTGCTTAAGTACTTTTCTCTTCCTTTGCTATAAGTTCAAACCAGTAGAGCTTCAGTCTCGACAGAGACTTCTAGTTCATTACATATTTGTGATGTTCATCTGTCGTGCAACTTACATCTGACATCATCCATTGTTCAGGAAGATGATAAGAAAGACTTAAACGTTATTTTCACGGTAAAGAATGCACATCACGAAAAGATGTGTGTACCACAATTTTGATTGATTGATTGTTGTTTTACGTCTCATTCGGTAATTTTTCACTCTTATAGAGACTTACCATATACCGGTGAGGGGCTTCTAATTTTGACCTTTACTCGGCATGCAAGGCCATTGAGCAGTGAGGAATCTTGATCGTGCCAACGCCTGCTGTGACACGGGACCTCGTTTTAAAGGCCCGCAAATTCCACCTCAGTTGCCGAGAGCATGGCGAAAGACCAGTTGCTGCCCTTTTTTATCGACTTTGGTCAGTCGCGGCCGAGAATGAAACTCACGACCTCCCGATCACGAAGCGAGCGCTCTACCGTCTGAGCTACCATAAACGGTTCAAGGCTTTTGAACATGAGGTAATGGCTATTGAAAATACATGATCTAATGAAATATGCATTTAAAATAATGAAAGAAACACACCACATAATGACAAAGGGCAAATCTGGTTACAAAAATATCAATGATAAAATCAAGCAACATGAATAATAATGCACACCACTTGTTGACAAAAGCACATCTCATACCGATAAAAACGCATTGTATCATGGATGCGGTATTTTTCCTTTGAAGTTGCCTAAATGTTAAATCCAGTTAAAATGAAAGGGGGTGGAGCTTAAGCATGCGTTAACTTCCAATGTGATAACTTGTTATTGCACACTTTTAAAATAAAGACAAAGTGCTAAAAAACATTTTATTTTTTTTCACAAACCAACAAAAAAAAAAAGTTGACACATGTACTGTCATGTACACAGGAAAAATGTCCACATGTGTTGAACATATGTTAAACATGTGTTTAACATATATTTTTTACACATGTAAAACACATAAAAGGAGCACACATGTATAGGGTGTTTATTTTTACACATGTTAAACATATGTTTCACATGTGTTTAACATGTGTAAAAATAAACACATTGTATATTTATACATATGAAACATGTGTTAAACATGTGTTTTATATATGTTATACTTTATATGTGAATTATACGTGTATAATATTACTGTTGTACTTTTTATCATTTTTATACTTTTTTCATGTCTGTCCACATATGTGAATCATATGAAAAGGGCAGCATATGTAAATCATATGAAATAGTTACATGTGTTCTCTTTCAATATTTATCACAAGGAAAAACACATTCTTGTACACATTTAAAAATCAGATATTTCTGCTTTAGATGAAAATCCATTACATTCCAATGATCTATCTTCATGGGTTAAATATTTGAAAATTAATATCTTAAAATTCTTACACAACTTTTTTGATAAATAATTTTCATCAAGAGAAATAACTTATTTTTCAGTGTACTTTCTAAACAGGAAAGTATACAAACAAGTCAGTAGCATTTGTCGATACATATATTTTACATATTCTAAGTTGAGTACAATTAAAAGATTTCCACAAAATGATTAAATAGTTAAACATGCATACATGTACAAATGAATAACATAATTAGTCCATGTACTTTTTTATAATTTATATGATTTGACATGAAAGTGTCCAAAGCAAAATTGAAATATCACATATAACATTTCCCATGTATTATCTATTGTAAATTTATGAACCAGAAGTCTCTGTCGAGACTGAAGCTCTACTGGTTTGAACTTATAGCAAAGGAAGAGAAAAGTACTTAAGCAGCTGGGATTTGAAACTAAATAGAATAATGATCATTGATAAAGTCTCTTTATGTTCTTAGTGTAGTCTACTTGTGTGCCAAGTTATACTTAAATCAGACCAAAACTGTAGGAGGAGTAGCATTTTGAAAGAATTTCACAGACATTTCTATTTTTAGTAACCACAGCAACACCGTTCATCGAAATCAAAAACCGATATACAGAATTATGTATATTAGTGTAGTCTACTTGTGTGCCAAGTTATAATGAAATCAAACCAAAACTGTAGGAGGAGTAGCATTTTGAAAGAATTTCACAGAAATTTCTATTTTTAGTAACCACGGCAACACCATTCATCAAAATCAAAAACCGATACACAGAATTATGTATCTTAGTGTATTCTACTTGTTTGCCAAGTAATACTGAAATCAGACCAAAACTGTAGGAGGAGTAGCATTTTGAAAGAATTTCACAGAAATTTCTATTTTTAGTAACCACGGCAACACCGTTCATCGAAATCAAAAACCGATACACAGAATTATGTATCTTAGTGTAGTCTACTTGTGTGCCAAGTTATATTGAAATTAGACCAAAACTGTAGGAGGAGTAGCATTTTGAAAAATTGTTTACAGACAGACGGACAGACGGACAGACAGACAGACAGACGGACGGACGGACGCCGGACGCATTACTATCGCATAAGCTCTTCTGGTCTCTGACCAGTAGAGCTAAAAATCAAGTTATTTGATATTACAGCATACAAATAAGAATGGGAATTAAATCTTTACAGGTCAAATACAGACAAGATTGTGTACATCCTCCCAATTTCATAATTATTTCATATATTTTCTTTCATATATGTTCTTTTTCCTTCTGTATCTTTCAGTTTTCTTCAGTTGTCCTCCCTCTGATCTTCCATGAGCTTGACCATTTTGAACTATCTTTGAACTGTACCCAAAATGCAAATCCACCATTTCTCCCTTTCCAGAACAATTTCTTTGTGGCACAGAATGGTCTCTACAAAAATTTCAAAAGTAAAAATAAAACAATTCTTAAATTACAAAATCAATTCTACAAGTAATATTAAAGTTCAGCAAACAAATGTGTGCCCAATTCACTAACAGAGATATGATAAGAGATAAAACTAATGTTAAATATGTTATACTAGGTGTTTTGTGGAATCCTATGATGTAATTTTCAAGACAATTACACTGTTGAAAGATATGCTTCACAATAAATTCATAAAAAGCATTTATTTTTTTGACAATTGATTTTGACAATTAAATTTGGAATGTTCAAACAGTATTACTAATTCATATTGACAAAAATTAAGAAGATTCTGACACAAATATTTTATTTTTGGACAAAAAAATACTACAGAGAAGTAGACAGGCAGAAAAACAGACAGTGTGATTCCAGGATATCCCAAACGTTGTTGGGAAGAATATAACAAAGTTTATTTAACAGTGTGTAGTTACCTTAATTAAGCTTTTAAGCAAGTCTTGGATCTTGGGATTTATTCTTGTGAGACGCTGACTGTATATTGAACCTGTAAAACAAATATTCACGCAGTAGATATCTTCTTTGCATAACTAAAACTTAATTAAACTACAAAACTACAACTACAACCAGAAGTCTCTGTCGAGACTGAAGCTCTACTGGTTTGTACTTATAGCAAAGGAAGAGAAAAGTACTTAAGCAGTTGGAAATTGAAACTTTTCAACAGCAATAAATAGAATAATGATCCTTGATTAAGTCTCTTTATGTTCTTAGTGTAGTCTACTTGCATGCCACATTATATTATAACCAGACTAAAACTGTTATTTGGAGTAGCATTTTGAGAGTATTTAACAGAAATTTCTATTTTTAGTAACCACGGCAACACCGTTCATCGAAATCAAAAACCGATACACAGATTTATGTATCTTAGTGTAGCCTACTTGTGTGCCAAGTTATATTGAAATCAGACCAAAACTGTAGGAGGAGTAGCATTTTGAAAGAATTTCACAGAAATTTCTATT